AGAAGCCATTTTACATAATTTTGGAGAAAAATCATTTCATAATGAAATTGTGATTAGGGCTAGTCTTTTTGCCTACAGGCTGTCTATAACATGCCAAAACATAATTCCATTTTTTGCCTCTGGTCACAGCTGAGACCACAATGGTCCCATGATGCTAATTACATCAGCTTAAAACATCCTAGTTCTTTGAGAATCCAGTAGTAAGAGAATGGTTTCAGCTGGGGAAAGATAAATTTCTTACTAGCTTAACCCATCCCACCTACTTTTGTAAGAACATCTTTCCTCATCTTATGGTGCTAATCAGTTTAAATTTCTCATGGGCCTAAGAACCTCATCAGCATAAGGATTATGATCATAGGATTACCATCACTCTTCCAGTCATCTGATCCTTTCTCTGATTATGAGATCTTTGTCAATTTAGAATTATCACCACCTTCTGGGTCATCTGTTATTCCCTATGAACCCAATAAATAGTGACCAGCTTGGGGTGCCTTCATCTTTGCTGCACAGGGCAGCATTGATCAGGCCCAGAACCCAGCTTCTTTGCTAAATCTTGTTTCCTGTCCTTATTCTTTAATTTGCCTTGTGGGGTCCTGGCTCACAGGAGACCAGGTCCCACAGGGATCCTGGTAACATCCCCTTTCTCTGTTCCGTACAGATTCTCACAATAACAACTAGCAGTTCTTAGGAGCTAATTCTTAAAGACATATTTCCCCAAATATATTGAACATTAAACAAAAAGAAGATAAAGTATGACATACTACTTGAAATAGAAGACTGTAGTTTGAGTATACTTTAAAAGCAAATTTTCAGGGCAATGACATCCCAGTTTTAAACACCCAGCTTGTCCTAATGTTTACTAAGATGATGATATGGAGTTGACATTGTGGAACTTCTCATGTTTTTGGTATAGAACCATATAAGCAGCCACTATGAATTGCTTAAAAGATACCCCTTGTGACTGAAATTAAATGAAAGAGCTATATTAAAATAAAAAGTAGTTCAACTCATTAAGATTATTCTTTGTTAAACTTCTCAGTTTATCTTCTTGTTATTTGTATCATCCAAACGTACAGAATGTTGACTCAAGGTAGATGAGAAGGGAGGTCATTTTAGTTTTTATATTGTTTTATAAAAATATTTGATAATATAAATGAAAAAGTATTTTATGATATAATATAAAACAATCTGTAATTTAATACTTTAGTCAAGTTTGGTAAGATTTCTTAAAGAGCAGTAACTCTGGAATCAACTTATTTACTTCTAAAATACTTATGAATGAAGTTAAAACCTATTCTATTCAAGATCAATGTAATATTGGTAAATAAAGGATAATTAATTATCCTTATGATAGTTCAGAAATATATTTCAATGAATACATATATTAAAGTGTTAGTTAATACTATCACTAGTGCTTTGAAAATTTTATCAAAATTGCATAAAAATATTTTATATGCACAGCCCTAAAGAAATTGTTTTCACCTACATTGTCACACCAACAGTGAAGATAAACTTCACAAAGATGTTTCATAAGAAATGGCTTTTGTCCACATTATTTGATCGAAAGTCATGAAAATCATGTTATTACATGAATACATAATATCTAAAATAAAACACCATTTTTGTCACCTTTACAAAGAAGAAACCATAGATCAAATAATAGAAAAATTTGACCTGGAGAATGATTCTGAGACTTGTTTAAGAAAGTTCTTGCTTTTTCTTCAAGGAGTCTGACCTCTTGGGATGTTGTAATTTCTTTAATCACTTCTGAACAACAATCACATTCCTTTCTTTCAGCTTTATTCTAAGAAGAGAAATTTGGAGGAAGAAACTTGAGTTCATTAATTTCCTCCAAAATTACAAAGGTCATGAAAAATCAGAATCTTAGACTTCGTGTGTCACTTCAGATATTAAATGTCTGCTATTATGTCAACTTAGCATAAAACCTGGAACTTTAAAATTTCACAAAAATATTTGTCAAATTGATTTTTGCCTCTTTTTAAAATATTTAGATTTAATTTGGTTTTATTTGAGCTGGCATAAGCATATAAAATATTTTCAATGCATTTATTGGATTAAAAATTATTTGGTTTTATATTCAGAGACTGAATCTGGGATAGAATTAGCACAGTGTGTCTCTGTAGTACCCAGACTGCATGTATTTCTATGAGCTGAAATGGAGGAAGGAAGGTTTATAGAGATAGAGAACTGTATGGTAAAAGGAAATGTGTATTTCCTTTGCTGAAACCTTAAATATGATTTTAAAGATAAAATGGAAGAAATAACTAATGATGAGGCAGATTTTCTTTGCCCCTTTGTAGTAGGAATAAACTAGAAAAAAAAAATATTCCAGGTCCACTTAGAATTGAAAGACTTGACTATACTTTTCTAACTTCAATTGATAGATTGGTGGATATTAGAATGGTTTTACTTAGACAATGAAGAATACTTAAAATTTTTTTCCGTACTATATTTTTAAAATACTACCAAATAGTATGAAACTTGAGTACTATAATCAAGGCTGTACCCTTAAACAAAAACTGAAAGGAAAGAAAAAGTTAGAAACAAGAAAAGAGAATGACAATACTTTATGGAATGAAAGTTGATTACTCTGCTTGAATTGATTTGTCTTCAAATTCTATGTAAAGGTAAATCTATCCTTTCGCGATTCATGTTTCTGTACAGCATGCATATTTATTATCAGTGATGCTGTTACATATCTCTGCAATAGAATCATACTCTAACATATATACCTTAACTACTATTCTTAGGTACACGGAATACAGACATTGTGAAATTTCTAACATATTTTCAATGCATTTGTAACTTAAAAGACATCAATAATTACAAACATGATTATCAAAATAATCACAGATTCAATAAATAATTGAATACCATTTATAGACACTGAAATACTACCATTTTTATAAAAGCATTCAAAATATGTCATTATTCCTATTTTCGAGATGGAAAAACTGAATCTTCAAAAGAGAAATTGTTTTATTGGAGGCCATTCACCTAATAAATAGCCTGGTGTGATGTGACTTCAAATGAGAATGTCTTAACCCTCTATTCCCCCAATTCTATTTTCTTCTTTTGATCTATATTTTTTGAAAAATACAAAGCAGTAAACAGATGCAAGTCACTAACCATACACTGAGAGGACCAGTTTTTAGATGAAGCCTCATTTGGATAAGACTTTGCTATCCACAGAAATAATTGGTTACATTATTAACTTATCAATTTGCTGCATTTAAAAATAAACTTGACTTTTGCTCTTTCATCTCCTTTGACAGATATTAATAGTACATTAACATCAGTTTGGAAAGGCAACTAAAAGACAAGTATGAGTATAATATGTTGTTACACTTTCTGCCAGAAAGCATGTAGCAAAATACAAATGGCATTAGATTACAATCACTATAAACTAACAGATGCTTTACTTCAGTCAAGAATTATACCATTATTACATTTGACTGAGGACTCCATTATATGAAGAAGAGAATGTAAAGGAAATATTATTAAGAATTCTCAACTTTATCTTAACTTGTTTGATAGTATTGACATGACTTGGATCCTTTTCTGTGCCTTGGTCTTCTTTTTTTCTTATTTTTAATTAATTTTATTTGTATATTTTAGTTAAGATTAAAAAAACGATTCTCAACTTTAACAAAATTATGTTGTGTAAAATCTGCTGAATGTAGGCCTTTCTGTCATCCTGTTTATACAGTTCAAACATACCTAGTATGAATTTGCTTTAACATTAAAATTTAGCATCTGATATTTCTGAATTAAACATACATCCATTGACATGTCTTTTAATTTGCAGTCAATTTTCTCATTGCTCTCTTTTAAAAATTAC